TGATATCCACAAAGAAGTAGCAGGAGGGAATCAAGAGGGAAGAGTGATCGGGAACTGAGAGGAGTGGCAGGGGATGGCAACAAGGGTGGGTATTATACATGATCTTCAAAACAGTGGGGTTTTGAGGAGAGGTCGGGTAGAAATGATCTAGAAGCATTAAGGGCCAGACCCTGAGGTACCTTGGTTGTAAAAAGGAACAGCTTCCTTAGGCAGGTTTCTTTGAGGACAAAAGGGAAGGACCCTTCAAATAAGATAGACCATGTTCCAGAAGGTGAGTGAAAGGGTTGTGGGACAGGCAGTTTAGGAAGGAGAACAGGGTGAACAAATATTTATTATTTCCCCTGCATGGGCATAGAGGATGCCCCTGTGAACTAGCAGACAGGTCCCTGCCTTTGCAGAACTTGTTGTGTTTTAATGCTGCTTCAACCAGTACTAAGTGTCTTGAGTTCTCCTTGAGATCTAGACACCTTCTGAAGGCAGAGATCCCTCTGCTTCTCCCCTGGACAAAGAGCCAAGGGTACAGAGCAGCTATGTGTGTGCAAATGCCTGCTGCTCTAACATAATCACCCCCTCTCCATGCTGTGACCAAGCCCTTGGCAACCCTTTCACGCTGAGTCATGGGTGTGTGTGAGAGCCCTTGTTCCAGGTCTCAAGCTGAGAGCTGCACCTGCCCTCCCCCCCAGTCATCTCCTTTTCCCTCATCTGGGCCCTTGCTCTACCAGACACCATCCGGAAGATGAAGAACGATTTCCGTAAGATGGAGGACGAGATGGACCGTCTGGCCACCAACATGGCGGTGATCACCGACTTCAGTGCACGCATCAGCGCCACGCTGCAGGACCGCCACGAGCGCATCACTAAGCTGGCAGGTGGGTCCCATCCCTAGCAGGCCCTGCAGAAGGCAGCCCTCTGCTGTGGGGCTGACATGTTCTCCCGGTTGGCCCCCCAGGTGTGCATGCGCTCCTGCGAAAGCTGCAGTTCCTCTTCGAGCTGCCCTCGCGCCTCACCAAGTGTGTGGAGCTGGGCGCCTACGGGCAGGCGGTGCGCTACCAGGGCCGCGCGCGGGCCGTGCTGCAGCAATACCAGCACCTGCCCTCCTTCCGTGCCATCCAGGACGACTGTCAGGTCATCACGGCCCGCCTAGCTCAGCAGCTGCGGCAGCGCTTCAGGTGTGGTCCCTGGCCCTAGCCTTGCCCACCAGCCAGGGCGGAGTACACACCTCCCAGGCCCTTGTGGGCTGTGCCCTGCCTACTGCCTTGCCTCCCTGACTCCTGCCCACCCTGCTAGCCGCCCTAGGTCTGCCTCTCACTGCCATCTCCCTCCCCACAGGGAGGGTGGCTCAGGCGCCCCTGAGCAGGCCGAGTGTGTGGAGTTGTTGCTGGCCCTGGGCGAGCCTGCCGAGGAGCTGTGCGAAGAGTTCCTGGCGCATGCTCGTGGGAGGCTTGAAGAGGAGCTGAGCAGCCTGGAGAGCGAGCTGGGGCCCTCTCCTCCTGCCCCTGATGTGTTAGAGTTCACTGACCGAGGCGGCAGTGGCTTCGTGGGCGGCCTCTGCCAGGTGGCAGCAGCCTATCAGGAGCTGTTTGCAGCCCAAGGCCCCGCGGGTGCCGAGAAGCTGGCAGCCTTCGCACGGGAGCTGGGCGGCAGATACTTTGCTCTGGTGGAGCGGCGACTGGCACAGGAGCAGGGTGGTGGTGACAATTCGCTGCTGGTGCGAGCGCTGGATCGCTTCCATCGGCGCCTCCGGGCTCCTGGGGCCCTACTGGCTGCTGCAGGGCTCGCTGAGGCTGCCACTGAGATTGTGGAGCGAGTGGCCCGAGAGCGCCTGGGCCATCATCTACAGGGCCTGCGGGCAGCCTTCCTGGGCTGCTTGACGGATGTGCGCCAAGCCCTTGCTGCTCCTCGCCTGGCTGGGAAGGAAGGCCCCAGCCTAGCCGACTTGCTGGCCAATGTGGCCAGCTCCATCTTGAGCCACATCAAGGCCTCTCTGGCAGCTGTGCACCTCTTCACTGCCAAGGAGGTGTCCTTCTCCAACAAGCCCTATTTCCGGGTACGGTCTGCCCAGGGGCTTTTAGTTATTTGTTCTGCTAATTGGCTCTCCAATGTCCTTTTACTAGTACATACTTATCAGTGATTGGGGAACTGAGGACTAGTTACCACGGCTCACACAGTCTTTGCCCCTAGAGGGCACTCTAGATGCGCTGTCAGGTTCTCCAGGATGGGGGGGACTCTGAGAGCACCTGCAGCCAAGCTATAGCAGAGGAAAGTGCCAGCCAGTGTCCCTAGTGCTGCCAGTGCCACACACACACAGACCAAGCAGAGAAGCTGCTCCTGGGTACTTGAGATGCAAGATGAAGCTGTCCCTTGGAGAGGGGCCAGGGCAGAGGGTGGGACAGCCCCTGTCTAGAAGAAAGGACTGTCTATCTGGGCCCTTCTTCCTCCCAGGGTGAGTTCTGCAGCCAGGGTGTCCGAGAAGGCCTCATCGTGGGCTTCATCCGCTCCATGTGCCAGACAGCTCAGAGCTTCTGTGACAGCCCAGGAGAGAAGGGAGGTGCCACCCCCCCTGCCTTGCTTCTGCTACTTTCCCGCCTCTGCCTGGACTATGAGACAGCCACTATCTCCTACATTCTCACTCTCACTGATGAGCAGTTTCTGGTGCAGGTGAAATTTGGGCTCATGGCAGGGGGCAGAGGGTGGTGGTTCTGGGAACATAGGAGGCTGGGCAGTCCCTGGTGGCCAGACCCAACCTCTACCCTACTTTGGCTGTGTCTGACTCTTAATTGGAAGTGGCCCCTGAATGGTCACCAAGTACCCACTGCCTCTGTCCTCTGCCTCTGGCTCAGGACCAGTCTCCAGTGACACCTGTCAGCACACTGTGTGCAGAGGCCAGGGAGACAGCGCGGAGACTGCTGACCCACTATGTGAAGGTGCAGGGCCTGGTCATATCACAGATGCTACGCAAGAGTGTGGAGACCCGGGACTGGCTTACTACACTGGAGCCTCGGAATGTGCGCGCTGTCATGAAGCGGGTTGTGGAGGACACAACAGCTATTGACGTGCAGGTGCTGCCCTCGGCTGACTGCTGTAGCCCTGACACAGACTGGGGGTATTGGGAACAGCACTCTAAGGATCAAGACAAAAGGGCCAGGCAATGCCTGTATTCATGTTCTTATTCCTCAGCCTTGGGAGTGTAGTAGCATCACCACCCCCATTTTACCTACAGGGCAGCAGAGGCCTAGGGTCACCCAGGAAATTGGGGCAGGGCTATGCTGAATATTGGGTCTCAGACTGACTTTTATGTCCTGCTTTGGCCCACTCCACTGATTCTATAAATGGTGACTCGGTACCCTGCGATTCTTGTAACAAATGAGTAAGTATCAGGCATCCTCTGCTGAGGCTCCTTGTGGTACCTCTTTCACCACCAGGTGGGGCTCCTATATGAAGAGGGTGTTCGCAAGGCCCAGAGTAGCGACTCCAGCAAGAGGACCTTCTCAGTGTACAGCAGCTCTCGGCAGCAGGGCCGCTATGCACCTAGCTACACACCCAGGTCTGGCTGGTAGGGGTGCCTCAGGGAAATGCATGAAAGAGGACCGTGCGCTGGGCGGGTTGTGATTCCTTGTCTCATTCCTCATGCAGTGCTCCAATGGACACCAACCTCTTGAGCAATATCCAGAAGCTGTTCTCTGAGCGTATTGATGTGTTCAGCCCTGTGGAGTTCAACAAGGTCTGAAGTCCCATGTGACCCAGACTCCAGGGGAACTGGGGAAGCTTGGCTGGAGCAGCTGTGCACCAGCCCAGGAAGCCCTAGGACCTGGTCTATGCCCAACAGTCTCTATTTCTAGGGCTGTTTCCAGGTAGTTCAGAGCACCACCACCATCACTTCATAGCTCAAGCCTGGATGCTGATCTAGAAGCCTCTGCCTTTGTCTCCACAGTAGTTCTGGGTCCTCAGGGTTTCCTAGTCACACTTTGGCTTTTGCCCAACTCCAGTCCAAGTTCAGGGATATTTTTTCCCTCACTTAGTAATGTCTTTCCTTACCCCATGTTAATACTGGCCCCTATCTCTGCCTCTGATTGCTGGGTCCTGCCTTCCCTTTCCCTTTAGATACCCTGTGATTCTTGTAACAAATGAGTAGGTATAGGGTATGCTCTGCTGAGGCTCCTTGTGGTACCTACGTACCTGCCAGGGCTGGAGGTGTGTGGAGCCCTCGAGCGCTGCTGCTGTTACCTCTATAGCAGAGGTACCAGGTACCATGTCCCTGGAACTCTCTGCCCGGGACCTCCTGTTTTATGCCATTTGCTGGCACCTCGTGTTGTTGATAGACCTTTATTTATATGAGGTGCTGAGAATCGGATCCAGTACCTCACAGGTGCCAGGCAAGTGCGCTACCACTGAGCCACAGCCACAGCCCCCTGGCCCCTCTTCTTAACACCTACAGTCACTCAGCTGCCTCCCTATGTCCCTGCCTGCAGGTGTCGGTGTTGACAGGCATCATTAAGATCAGTCTGAAGACGCTGCTGGAATGTGTGAGGCTGCGCACCTTTGGGCGCTTCGGGCTGCAGCAGGTGCAGGTGGACTGCCACTTCCTGCAGCTCTATTTATGGCGCTTTGTGGCGGATGAGGAGCTTGTGCACCTGCTCCTGGATGAAGTGGTGGCCTCAGCTGCCCTGCGCTGTCCGGACCCAGTGCCTATGGAGCCCAGTGTTGTGGAGGTCATCTGCGAGCGCGGCTAGGCTCATCTGATGAGCACACAGGGCCGTCGTGGTGCCCATCTGGTCAATGCCATGGTCTGACCTTCTGGTGCGGCAGACCTTCCCTGGGTCAGGACGGGTGTCAGGACCAGCTTAATAAACCTGTTTCCTCCTAGGTCTCTTAGTGCGTGCGGGAACCTGCAAGGGGTGGGGTTTGGGGGTTGAGGCTTCTGAGGCGCCAGCGCAGGATCCGCCCCCGAGCGCCAATTGGCTGGTGTTCTGGGCCCAGGATGAGCAGGGGGCGTGTCCACTTAAAGACCTCGGGACAAGAGCTGCCGCAGCCCCAGCTTTGTGTGGAGGCAGGTGCAGCGTGTCGCAACCTCCTGGTGGCCAAGCCTTTCTCCTCGGGGACAGAGCGGGCTGCGTTTCCTTGACCGACTTTTGTGAGCCCCCACCCCTGGGTGGAGCGGAAACCATGGCTTCTCTTCAGGGCCCCCGAGCCCCACTGGAATTCGGGGGGCCCCTGGGTAATGAGGCTGAGCGGGGCTGGGATGGAGGGATGAACTAGGAACAGGACGAGGCAGGATCTGAGGGTGGCAGTTTTGGGGGTACCCAGAGAAAAAAGGGAAGGAGTTGGCAGGGAAAATGTCTCCAGAGGGAGAGCCAGGAGGGGCACTTCTGGGGACAGGGCGCTGGGGATTTGTGGAGAACTGAGATTTGGGGGAGGAGGGTCTTCTAGGGAAAGGGATCCAGAGGCAGCGGGAGCTCGGGGACTGACAATCGGATTCGGAGACGACGGTGGTAGCCTGTGGGTTCGGGAGAAATGGGGAGCGGACATCCGAAGTTGTGGCCCCCTCCCTAGGCGCTGCGGCGCTGCTGCTGCTGCTACCCGCCACAATGTTCCACCTGCTACTGGTGGCCCGCTCAGGCCCGGCGCGCCTACTAGGCCCACCTCCGTACCTGCCAGGGCTGGAGGTGCTGTGGAGCCCGCGAGCGCTGCTGCTGTTACTCACCTGGCTCGGCCTGCAGGCGGCGTTCTACCTGCTGCCGGCGCGCAAGGTGTGAGCTCTGTTCCAATGCTTCGGGGAGGCGGGAGGAAGGAGGGCAAGAAGGCCCCACAACCCTTATCAGATTGCCCTGTACCCGCAGGTGGCCGAGGGGCAAGAATTGAAGGACAAGAGTCGTCTGTGCTACCCCATTAATGGTGCCTGGAGGACTGGCCCTTGCACTGGACTTGGTGGGAGTGGGGTTCAATATCTAGCCAGACGGTCCATGGAGATTAGCTCCCATATGTACCTCTCTTATGCCAAGGAGACTCCAAGGGAGTCTCCCCACGCCCCTTATCCCCGCTCCTTTACTTCATTTGCAGCTACTCTATGCACCAGGGCAGTAGCTGAGGTGGCTCTCTGAAGGCTAAGGTGGTAGCCTAATGGCTTAAGCAGGGTCTGTGACCTCCCTGACCTTGCTTTGGTGCATGTGTATGTTGGGAGGGGCGGTGGCGATGCCCAGCCCCAGGACTTACTCTGTTGTGATTCAGGCTTCCAGGCCCTGGTGCTGACAGCCCTATTGGTGGGGCTGGGGGTGTCCGTTGGGCTGCCCCTGGGTGCGCTCCCGGAAATGCTTCTGCCCTTGGCATTTGCAGCCACCATCACCACCTTCATCTTCAGCTTCCTTCTCTATATGAAGGCTCAGGTGGCCCCTGCCTCAGCCCTGGCACCTGGGGGAAACTCAGGTGAGAGGGGTCCCAGTGGGGTGGAAATGCGGCAGATGGGGACACTTGTTTGTACTTTCATTCTCTGTTATTCTCTAGGCAATCTCATCTACGACTTTTTCCTGGGACGGGAGCTCAACCCTCGCATTTGTTCCTTTGACTTCAAGTATTTCTGTGAACTGCGACCCGGTCTCATCGGCTGGGTATGCTGGGCTTTATGGGGCTGGCCTCAGGCCAGGGGAAGGCAGGGCCCCAACAGTGCAGGACAAAAATCATTGTCATTCCCTCCTCCCTGTTGATCTATTGTGTCCTCAACATTGCTGTACTGCTGGAAGACAAGAGAGAGAGAAAGTCACAGGAGAGGAAAGAAAAGAAAACATAAAGCCTTCATCCTAGTGGGAAAGAGAGACCCAAACCAGTAAAATATATATAGTGAACTGGTGTAGTGCAATAGTGGGCATTCCATCCCCAGCATCACAACATACAAACACACCACACACACACACACACACACACACACACACAATGAAAGAAAACCAAGCAGGAAGAGTTAAGAGAGCTCATGCAGTTTTAAATACAGCAATCAAGTGCAAAATCTATTTTGAGGACAGTGATGATCACATGTTTTTGATGATCAAGGCAGTACAGAATCTAGAACTGATCACTGGGTTTAGCAGCCTACCTGTCCGTCACTGTTGGCCTTGACAACATTCCATCTCTGTCCTGGAGTTATGATCACCCATGCTGGACGTTGGCCAAGAGTACCAAAGGAACTCTTGGGAAAGGTCCCTCATGTAAACTTAGAAGTGACCTCACCCTGAGGGCAGGAGTGTGATGTGTTCACCATGGATCTGTTTTATTTTCCCCCAATCTTTTATTTTTTGAGATGGGAGGTCTGATTGTGTAGCCCAGGGTGGTGTCAAACCAAAGATCCTCCTGCATCTGCCTTCTAAGTAGTAAGACTACAGGCATGCACCACTGACCTGGCCCCCTGTGGATCCGGAGCAGGTCCTGCTCACAGACACTTCAGCCTCTAAGGCTATTTGCTTACTTGTGAAATTGGATCAAATTAAAACTTTCTCCCAAGATTATTGTGAGAATGAGAAAGGTAAGCTCAGCTCTGCCCAAATGAGGGTGCTCAGCATGGACTGGATCCTAGCTAACTGCTAGTACTGCACACATTATGCCAAGTCCTCACACTGTACCCGAGTCAAGTCCCTATCTCTATTCCCCACATGGTGGTGGGAAAGTGGGTTTTGGGAAAGGTAACAACCTGCCCAAGTGGCAAAGCTCAGATTCAAAAGCAGGAGTTTGAACTCTGGAGCCATAGTCACAGTCTGTCTACCTGAGCACAGGGCCTGGATCCACTTAACAAGGGGCTAAAGAGTGACTTGATAGTGACAGGTGAAAAAAGGGGAGAGGCTGGCACTTCCCCACCCAGGTGCTGCCACTTGGGTGGAGGCAATGGCCTTGTCCCCCACTATCCCCAGGTCTTCATCAACCTGGCCCTGCTGGTGCAGGAGGCAGAGCAGCGGGGGAGTCCTTCACTTGCCATGTGGCTGGTCAATGCTTTCCAGCTACTGTATGTGGGTGATGCCCTCTGGCATGAGGTGAGGCTGCACTGGGCAGGGGAGGCTGGGGAGAGTCCCTGTGGACATAGGACTAAGACAGTGTACCTGGATCCTGTCCCTATAGGAGGCTATCCTCACCACCATGGACATCACACATGATGGATTTGGCTTCATGCTGGCTTTTGGGGACCTGGCCTGGGTACCCTTCACCTACAGCCTGCAGGCCCAGTTCCTGTTGTACCACCCACAGCCCCTGGGGTTGCCCATGGCTGCAGTCATCTGTCTCATCAATGGTCAGTCAGGAAGGGCAGCAAGCTGGGCCCATCATTTCCCTTCCCTCTTTCTTTCCTTCACACTTTGTTCAGTATTCAGTAGGTAGGTGCGAAGCTCGGGTGATTATCTAAAGCTGGGGCTGGGTTCTGGATATCCAGGCAGTCAGCTATAGACATGCCAGTAGATACTAAAAATCAGGCAGAAGACCACGGCCCTCAACCTTGACTATCTGCTCATACTCTCCCCCAGCTATTGGTTACTACATATTCCGTGGGGCCAATTCCCAGAAAAACACTTTCCGAAAGAATCCTTCAGATCCCAGTGTGTCTGGTAAGTTGGGTCTCTTGGGGGCCATAGATGAGGTGGAGCACGACTTTCTGGGATTCTCTACCTCACTCTCTGTGTTTCCCAGGCCTTGAGACCATTCCTACTGCCACGGGGCGGCAGCTTCTGGTATCTGGATGGTGGGGTGTGGTCCGTCATCCCAACTATCTCGGAGACCTCATCATGGCTCTGGCCTGGTCCTTGCCTTGTGGTGAGTGCCCTGGGTGGATATGAGCAGTAGCATGGTGATCACAGGATGCCTATGATCAGCTACTAGGGATGGACCCAGTGTGTGGTGTGTGGCTGGGGCAAACCCCATTGCCAGGTTGGGTTGCCTTTCTCTGCTGAGCCTTGATGCTCTGTGAGCCACTAGGCATGGAAATCTCTGTGAACTGCTGTCTGAGTGGTCACAGAGCACTTCTGTACAGGGGTGTCCCACCTGCTACCCTACTTCTACGTCCTCTACTTCACTGCACTGTTGGTGCACCGGGAGGCCCGGGATGAGCGGCAGTGCCTGCAGAAGTACGGCCGGGCTTGGCACGAGTACTGTCGGCGGGTACCTTACCGCATCTTGCCCTACATCTACTGAAGCAGCTTCACTGGCCACCAGACCACCATGATAGGAATCTGGACACAACTGGGCTCTGAGCTCACCCAGGAAGGGATGACCAGCCTCTGAGAAAAGGTCATTTGGAACAAGATGAAGCCAGTGCCCCCAAATGGAGACATTTTTCTCCCGTTGTATAAATGTCTGGAACCCTTGGTGTGTTTTGCTCCCATTCTGGGACCAGTGTGTTTATACCCAGAGTTGGGTGAGCTCTGACTAGGAGGAAGCTGAGAGGCAGTTTGTGAACACAAGTCTGGGCTAGATAGGATAACAGCTGTCACTCAGAAATGGGCACTGTACACAGTTGGGCAGACCAGGCACAGCTTTATTAATAACAAGGGTCCCCAGATCAGCCAGGGAGCTCCTCAATGAGAGTCCTCGGTGCAGGTGGCACAGGGCCTCCCCAAAGGCGCTCTAGCTCCCCAGTGAGGGCTGCCACCTCCTCTGCTGCCACCGTGTGGGCTTGGTGGGCCCTGGTGCAGTCTAAAGCCAATGGTGTTAGGACAGCCTCATTTTCGTTGGTCCAGGCCAGCAGAAATTGGCACTTCTTCCGGGCCCGGTAGAGGTGATCTCGCTCTTCTCTAGCCACGGCCTGTTTCCTGGCCCTGCCCAGAGTCTGCACTAGATGCCCCAATGCAGCCAGCGTGTAGCCTTTCTGGTTGGCGGGACCCTCACCCAGCAGGATGCGGGCGGCCTCTTGCATAGCACCCCGTGTACCCAGGGGCCCTGGTGGGTGCTCGCTGGTTTCTAGCACGCTGGCTGCAGCCAGCAGGGCTTCCTCCACAGAAGCAAAGACTTGCTGGGCGCCCAGGGCTCCAGAAACTCCCAGCAGCGTGGCACAGAAGTCGGAGAGCAGCTCTTCGTCCCCGCCATGATAAAGGGCTAGAGTGTGTGCATAGGCGAACAGCACGTTGGGGAGCTGGAAGCGCACGAGCGGCGAGGCTGGGCAGCGACTCAGGCTGGCCAGCGCAGGGATGTGGGTGGGCACTGAGGGCCTGCAGGCCCTGGGGGCGTCTCCAGGAACTGGCTCCGTGGGGGCGGGTTCTAGCTCCGCAGGTTCACTGCTGGGGACACCATCTAACTCCTCCAGAAGCCGCGGCCCGGCCCCACGGTCCCACCACCACGGCCGCCACGGAGGCAGCAGCTTCCCGGCCTCGCCGCGGCTCAGCAACCGCTCGAAGGCCGCCTTCTCCGCGGGTGCCAACTCTTCCCAGAGTCTGGAAAGGCCGCCGGGTGCCGGGCCAGTGCTCAGGCCTGCCTCTTCGGGGTCGTCCTCTGTCTCGCGTTGCTGGCGCAGCCGGCGTAGAGCACATGCTAGGCGGCTAGGTGAGGCGCTGCGGCCGCGGAGCTCTCTCAGCACCTGGTCACGGTAGAAGTCTTCGGCGCAGGCACCATGCGCCCGATAGCAGCGCAGCGAACAGTAGGGCACATTACAGCGTGGACAGGTGTAGCGCGCTGGCTGGGCCTCCCCGCCTGGGCAGAAACCGCACAGCCCGCCCGGCTCCATGGCAACTAGAGCAGCTAGCTAACAGCGAACATGAGCACCCAAGCGCAGCCACTTCCGGCGCATCTTCAGTTACTTCCGCCTCTTTGCCAGGCCGAGGGAGCTTTCGGTTCGGCAAAGCTCGGAGGCTTCTCGTCAATTTCCGCCCACAATCATAAGCCAAGCCTCTCCCTTCTCTCAAGTAGCACTTTGGGCAGGCGCAGAAACCTAACGCAACGTACGAGCCCCGCCCACTACGGCGATGACGCACAAGATCGGAAAAATGCGCAGGCGAGCACTACGCTGGTCCTCGCTCGCCCCCTAGTGGTTGACCAAACCCTGCCCCATCTCCGCCCCACAAGTTTCCTAAAAGTGAAAAACAACTTTTCTGTAAGAGCTGTGGGCATGGGCTGGAGTTGTGGCTCAGTGGTAGAGCGCTTGCCTAGCCTGTGTGAGGCACTGGGTACGATTCTCAGCGCCACAATAAAATAAATAAAGGTCCATTGACAACTAAAAAATAAAAAATACAAAGCTGGGGGCAGAAATCATCTATGCTAAGCACCTACTTTGGGCCACTAATCGTGCCAGTTCTATGGGAGATAAGATTTCTCTCTATACTGGAGGAACAGACATTTTGCTAGGGGACATAGACAATTTAAGGGGCAGTTAGAGTGGAAGAAAGGCCTAGACCTGGGTGTTGGGGGCATTGCTTTAAAAGAAGGCAATGTTTAACAAATATCTGAGCTTCTGTTCAATTCCTAACCTAAACCTGCCTCTTCCTTCATTAAATACTTTCTGATTAAATATCCAATAGTAGTCAGGCACTGTGAGGCCTGTAATCCCAACTACTTGAGAGGCTGAGGCAGGATGATAGCAAGTTAGGGACCAGCCTGGACAATTTAGCAGGACCCAAAATAAACAATAAGGGCTGGGGATGTAGTTCACTATGTATATTATGTTTATATACACAAACACATACAATATTTATATACACATAAAATCTTCATTCACCTAATTCTGTTAAATGCAGACTCCATATTGAGGACCAAGAACACAATGAGGATCAAAGAGATGACATTCCTGTCCTAAAGTTATCTTCTGGTGTAACAGAGATGATGAACCACGAACAACAACAATGAGGTGTTTTTGTTTGTTTTTGTTTTACATACTGAGGAATGAACTCAGGGGCACTTAACCACTGAATTGCATCCCCAGCACCCCCCTCCTGCACCACACACATTTTTTAATTTTGAGAACAGAGTCTCAAGTTGCTGAGGCTGGCCTCAAACTTGTCATTCTCCTGCCTTAACCTTTTCAGTTGCTGGGATTACAGATATTTACCACCACATCTGGCTGAAAGATGAGGTCTTGATCTATGGTACCTATGAAATGTATCCTGGTTCTTTGATCACTCTCACATTCATTCCCACATCCTGTCACTTCTGCCTCTGAAATATCTTACATCTATCTTGATATGTATCATTTATCTCCCTACAAAGACTTGAAGACTTGGATGGACCACCACTGATGGTCTAAGCTACCTGCCTCCTCATCGGATGACAGTGCCTTAACTGTTTTCCTAACTTCCTCCAGAAAAAAAGCCTGAGAAATAGATTATAGGGCTGGGGATATAGCTCAGTGGTAAAGCATTTGCCTTGACTAGTCAAGGCCTGGTTTGATTTTCAGCACTGAAAAGTGAAAAACCCACAAGAATTTAGATCACAAATCAGATTACATCAGTCCCTTGCTTAAATCCTCTTCATGACCCTCTGTTGCTTTTAGACTCAACCCCAGCTATGGTGTGAATCAAAACTCATGTTGAGACGGGCACTGTGGGCCACAACCATAATCCCAGCGGTTTGGGAGACTGAGGCTGGAGGACGGTGAGTTCAAAGTTAGCTTCATCAATTTAGCAAGTCCCTAAGCAATTTAGCAAGACCCTGTCTCTAAATAAAATATAAAAAACAGCTGGGGATGTGACTCTGCGGTTAACTGCACCTGGATTTACTCCCTTGTACAAAAACAAACAAAACCAAAACCAAAAAAATCCACAAAAACCAAAAACAAACTTATGTTTAAATGTAATCCCTTTTGTGAGGCATTAAGAGGCAAAATCTTTTAGAAGTGGATAAGTCCAAGGTTCTACTTTAATGGATTGATCTATTCATGGATTAATGCAGTGTGGATATAATAAAGGAGTTCTTTCCCATGGCTAACAAGGTCCTGCAGAATCTGCTGCACTCACTCTAGACATCACTTCTGCTTCTGCCCTTGGAAGCCTCTTGGCTGGAACTCTCCCCAGCTCAACACTTGATGGGTTATTTCAGGACTCACATCTTCTCCTCAGTGGTCTCCCTTAGGGATGCTCCTAAGTACGTCTGTCCACAACTTCCCCCACACCACACCCACATTGCAGCAGTCTTTCTATGAGGCTATTAATACTTGGAATGAATTTCCTCATATTTCCCCACACAAAAAATTTCAACTGGGCTGGGGATGTAGCTCAAGCAGCAGCGCGCTCGCCTGGCATGCATGTGGCCCGGGTTCGATCCTCAGCACCACATACAAACAAAGATGTTGTGTCCACAGAAAACTAAAAAATAAATATTAAAATTAAAAAAAAAAAAATTCAACTGTAGGCTAGGGACGTATGTCATTCAAGGGCAAGGACTTGAGAACTTGGATTCAATCCTCTACCAACCATAAAAAAAAAACTGATAAATAGAAAGTCAGGGGCTGGGATTGTGGCTCAGTGGTAGAGCGCTCTCCTAGCATGGGCAGGTTCGATCCTCAGCACCACATAAAAATAAAGGCATTATGTTGTGTCCATCCACACCTAAAAATATAATAAATATATAAAAAAAAAAAAAGTTAGGGACTATGTTTTTTTTTTTTTCCCCCCCAGTGCTGGGGATCAAACCCAGGGCCTTGAGCATATTATCCCAAACTCCCTACCACTGACCTACATTCCCAGTTCTTTTTTCTTTAAATCACCATACACAATATGTATATTTTTTTAATCGAGAGAGAGAATTTTAATATTTTTTAGTTTTCGGCGGACATAACATCTTTGTTTGTATGTGGTGCTAAGGATGGAACCCGGGCCACACGCATGTCAGGCGAGCGCGCTACCACTTGAACCACATCCCCAGCCCCTTGGCTGTTCTTTATACAGCCTATATACCTACAATAAGCCAGGGGCTATGTAAGCATTTTATATCCTTTCACCTTCACAGCAACTCTCAGATGATGCAGAGACTAGATAAGTAGTTCAAGGGCTGGGGCTGTAGTTCAGTGGTAGAGCAGTTGCCTAGCATGTGTGAGGTACTGGGTTCGATCCTCAGGACCACATAAAAAGTAAACATAAAAGAATGCTGTCTAACTACAACTCTAAAAAAAAAAAAAAAAAAAAGTAGTTCAAGATCTGCCAAACAGTAAGTAGAAGAGGGAAAAAGAAAAAAAACCCCAAAACTCCAAGTTCAGCAGTCTAAACACAAGGGCTTTCCCCCATGGTATATTATATTAAGAACCAGCAGGTTCAAAAACAGATGAATGATGAGTGGGTTTCAGATATGCTGGAAGCCTTAGTTGCTAGGAGGGATCCTTAAATCAACTCTAAAGAACTGTTTAGGAACATTTTATCCAATCATAGCATGATTAAATCAGCAAGGC